GGGGCCCATTCTCCATCTCAGTATGTCTGGAAGGTAGAACTTCAAGCCCAAGTTTATTCTCAAGCCTGAATGTTGTTTTCCCTGTGGGGCTAGGAGCTTTCATTCCTTTCTCCTTCTTACTTTTGAACTAGAAATGTCTGTTCTATTCATGTCCCACCACTGTATTTCAGAAGCACACAGAAATTTATTTATTTCACAGGTTCATAGCTAGGAGATAATTTGCCTCAGGATGAACTGTAGTTGAATCTTACTCATATCTGATTTAGATGATATTTAAATTATATTTGAACTTAAGACTTTTGTGTTGATGCTGGAAAAATAAAGAATTTTGAGGTTTGGGGAATGGAATGAATGTGTTTTGCATGTGAGGACATGAATTTGAAGGGTCAGTGGTGGAATGCTGAACACTGGTATCCCACCAAAGTTATACATTGGAACCTAATCCTCAAGGCAACTGTATTAAGAGATGGGGTCTTTAGGAGGCGACTATGTTACAAAGGCAGAACTCTCATGTGATTAATGAGTGCCCTTAGAAAAGAAGTCCAACAAAGATCACTCACCCCTTCTGCCATGTGGGGATGCAGGTGCTATCTATGAGGAATAGGACTCTCACTAGATACTGATTCTGCCAGTACTCTGATCTCAGATTTCTCAGTCTCCAGAATGGTGAACAATAAATTTGTCATTTATAAACTCCCAGTCTAAGGTATTTGTTATAGAAGCGTGAATGGATTAAGGCTAATATGGAAAGATAGAAAATAGGAAAGAACTTTGATTTTAGACAATTTTATTCAGTAGGACTACAACTTTGAAGTGAGTGGGAGTAACTACATGGGAATCATACAGAGGAGCAGGGACAGTGGAAACACTGGAACTCTATCTCCAGAGGACAAAGGTATAAAGAGAGCAGAGGAGAGAGTTCAGGGGACAGCCTCAGTCTTAAGGAATAGGAAGGAGAAAAAACAAAGTTAATGGAAAGGCTGTGGTCTAAGTGACAGTGGTTATGGAAAAAGCATAATTTTACCATTTATTAGTGCAAAGTGTCCCATTTTCTCAGTATGAATTTTAGACTAAATCTAAAGAATTATAAAGAAGCAATGGAGTCTTTATGAGACAACGTTAGTACAAGACTGCAGTGGTCCCTAGAGGATGCTTTTCATGGCTAGATTAATGCACCAAGGTCTAAGTTAACAATCTGCAGGTGAAATGACTTTTTAAATCAGAAATAATTAAATCAAATGTCCAATATCCCTACTCTTCTCACATTCTTGTTTTCCATTCAGAAAGTAGGTAAAAAACAGTTTATTCCTGTTTGACATACATTTTTTTCAGTGATGTTAAAAATTATCTTCTTGGACAGTAATTCCTATCATTGAGAGTGGTGGAAATAAAGGCACAATATGATGTGATCAATCAAGATGGCGTCACTGCTCACCCTGAAAACAGTCGATCCAGAGGAGGTTCATGCCTTTTGGCTGGAGCTCCTCCTCAGAAACAAGGTGCAAAACCAGGAACAACACAAAAATGATCTTTCAAACCTCAAGGTGCTTTGAAACCAGGTAAGAATGTAGTCAGTCTCTAATGAGAGGCCACTGAGAATATAGGAACTTTCTGGAACTACTGTGTTTATTTTAAACTTACAGATTCTGCTAGCTTGCAGTTTTGGGGGTTTTTTTAATATACATAACAACTTGCATGGTATACCTTATCTGCCTGTTCTCTCCATCATCATCATCATCTCTCTTTAAATGAAAATTAATAATGTTCTAGTAAATTGAGCTGGACCAGTGTACACTACTGCATACAATCTTTATAAAATCCCCACACTTGACATAGAAAACAATTCTCAATTTTTGATCCTTGAAAATGGAATCAAGAGCAAAATCCAGCGTTCTGGATGGCAAAGCTAAAAGTACACATGGTAGTTCTTAAAAGGACCAGTAGAGTCAGCATCAAGAAAAGCTCTGTTCTTACCTATCACACCCTTCATCGATATCTTGACAATCACACAAACAAGCAGCCACGTGGTTCTTTTCCCCATTTCTATCTATGTATTCGCAGCAGCACAGGGGCTCCAATTCAGGTTCTTCGGTTTTCTTTTTTTTCACTGGCTTCATACTGACTGCCCTTCTGTGCTGTGATTTGCACCTGTCACCATGAGATGTAAGCAGCCCTCAAAAGGTAAAGGTGGAAAGACTCCAATTCATATCTTGTAAATACATCCACACCTCTCTCTCTGATGAACACCAACGCCTGAATAATCAAAAATGAAAAGAAAGTGGGGGAGGGGTCCCAATTTCATCAAGCTTTTGTGGCTTCATATGGTCAGACAGGGGGCTCCTAGGATCTTAGGGCTCCAAGCTGCTTCACCACCCCTTCCCATCTGGGGCAGGCGCCTTCTGGACACAAGACGTTCCCATGGCGACAGCCGACCACGCGGCCCGGGACATCCCCGGCGCGGGTGGTAGAGTTCACCTGCGGAGCTGGCCGGGAAGGGCCGAGCGGTCCCCGCCCCAAGGCTGAGTGCTGTGGAAACTCACCCCCGGGGGTGCAGGGAACAGCGAAGCGTACGCTTGCTCGTACCAGCTAATGCGCCCCAATGCTGGAGCCGCCAACCGCCTGGGGGAACGCTACAAGGTTCCCCTGCAGCCCCGAGGTCGCCGTCCAGCCTCCCGCGGAGCGCGTCTCCACCTCCACTGTCAAATTGGAGGACGTGGGCGGGCCTCTAGCGCCGCCCCGCTCGGAGAATGACCTTGGAAGGGAAGTTACCTGCTCTCCCGACGGAGGTGCGGCTGCAGAAAAAGAGGCGGAGACCGAATGGGAAAGGCTCTGCTCCACCACAGGCGCGGAAGCGTCTCTGAATTTCGACTCTGTGGGGCTCCTGGCGTGACGGCTAGAGTCGGGGACCCCGGCTCCGCTCGGCCGTGCCCACGCGGCAGCTGCCCACCTGTGAGCACAGCCTGCCAGGGGCCCGGGCGGCGCCTCCCTGAGCCGTCCCCGCCGGCCCGGCGAGGAGCGGCAAGTCCGCGCGCGCTTCCGGGTTCCCCGCCCCCGGCGCCGGGGATCCCCGCCCGCCCGCACGTGCGCCGCCCGCCGCCCCGCGAGCCCGCCGGCGAAGCCCCACCCCGCGCCGGACCAGAGGGCTGGTTCCCGGAGCCCGTCCGAGCGGCAGAGGCGCGGGGCGGACAAGGTAACCGCGCGCGCCCGAGCACCACGGCTGCCTGCGGGCGGAGCGTCGGCGGGGCAGCCTCCCGAACCTTCGGGGTGTGGACGGGGTGCGGAGACGGAAATACTGGGAACCCAGAGGATTTCCGAACTACGTGAGACCGTGGGTCCGGCAGCCTTCTTTCTGACGCCGGCAACAGGCATTGGGGGCGAGCAGCGCAAATGTTACCGAGGTACCTCCCCCATATTCCGGGACCTTCCCTTAAAGGCCCATCGCTGCTCCCAGATCTGTTGATTTATCCAACTTGTTCATTCTCATGATTTGTGGCCAGCAGTCTGCATTCGACCAGCAGGCCTCTCCAATACTTCTGTTCCAGTAGTCTGAGTATTTGATTATAAAATTACCCTGAGATAAGAGACCTCTTGGGTTTTGTTTTGCACTGAATTTTTTTAAGAGTGTTGGCCCATGTATACGTTTTCACTACATCGGGCATTCTGGATGTTTTGCTTTTGTTTTTAAACAGAAAATGAAGAAAAATTACAACTCAGACATTTCAGGTTTTATTTATTTTCAGTTTACATAGAAGGTTCAAATTTTATGAATTAAATTTTGACTTTATAGTCTTAATTTATAAAGCAACTTTGGTAATCTTCTTTGAGGTATGTTATTAAAGTATACGTTTTAAAGCAACCATCAAAATATTGTTTGTCAAATGACTTCCCAAACTTTTCCTACCTCCTGGAAAAATGTCTGATTTCAAGTAAACTCACTGAAGTCCTTATTTTCACGAATTACTTGTATTGACATAAATGCCTAAAAACTTTTTATGGAAGAGCCCAAGATTGTCTAACAGCTTCAGTCAGTTAAGTTGTATTGGGACATAAATGCTCCAGAAGTATTTTATTAAAGAGCTAAATTTTGTGTCTGGTTTATAACTTACAACTAAAATAAGCCCCTCCCTCTACCAAACACACAGAAGTGGCTACTGAATGGTAATACACAGATTATTTTCAACCAGACAAGTCACTTCCTCCATGGAAGACTGCTAAGCTGAACCCAAGCTTAGTTCAAGTATGCATTTGATCTGTCATTAAATGCCCAGATTTTAACATCATCTGGTTTTTTAAACCCAGGGGATGGCTCTTCATTTTGAGCATTTGTGTCCTACATATTTCCTTTTCCTAAATTGCCTCTTATGCCATTTGATGCATAAAGAGGCAAGATAATCTCACCTCTGCTACCTTAATAAAAAATAACTCTTTCATAAAGATACAACATGGCTAAGGAACCTTTCTGATAATAACCATCAACATGCAGATTCAAAGGTTTGACCACTGAATTTGCATGCCAAATAAATGGAGATATTGTAATATTTTACACAAAATCAGAAATGTCCTGTATGCCTGAAAACTGATCCTTTAATATTAGTAATGATTTAGAGGTTTCTTATATTATCTTCTTTAGTCTCTTAAGCTTATCTCAACTGTGAAAGCAGTCTACTGGACACTTATTGGTTCTGTGCTAACAGATAAATTTAAAGCATCAAACTTCCAAGCCTCAGTGTAGAAAAGAGGCTGTACCATTCAATTCAGAGTGTTTGCTTTTCTCTTTTTTTTTTAATCACAGCATTTCAATTCCAGAATATATTTCATGGTTCACTGAAGAAGTTCACAGCTTAAAAACATGTTTTAGGAAATGAAAGGATAAATTTATAAGGCCATCAGAGAATAATTATCAAATAAATGTTATTAAAAAGAATTTCATATTAGGAATCCAAATAATATGAAAACGTGGAAATGTTCATATGACAATGAAAATCCTTCATCCTCTGACTTTCTTCCTAAGGTTTTCTATTAGTTCCAAGTATTTCTACAGTTTCAATCCATAGATCACTAGCTTTTGACGGCCATGCCAGTTTTGTTCTTATTTAGTAGATCGAAGGTTTTCTGAAGCATAATGAGTGAGCTCTTCAGCTGCAAACAAAATTAATTTTCAAAGTCAGATTTTTAAAATTCTTTGATTATTTTATGCCAAAACTTTACAATTAAATTCAATAGAGTTTTGTTTATACAAATAAAAACTGAATATAACACACTCAATTCTTTAGGATATCTGCTGTTTGCTACACAGTTCCCCTCATCAGCTGGAGTACTGCATTTTTTCCTACTACTTTATATTCTACTTTCCAATATGTCCATTAATCAAATTATCCCGGGTGAAAGGCTCATTTTCTTAAATGGTTTCTGAAATTGGACTGGTCTCTTCACTATTCCTACACAATTTAAGTTCCACTGATGGGCTGTTCCTTACTATTATGTTCATGTTCCTGTTCGCGCATCTAAAACTTATACATACCCTCTGTCTCTGTGGTTTTCCTTAATCATGTTGCTTCTAAACCCCCAGAATAATACCTTTACTACTTAACACTCTGATGCTGAATTTTATACTTTTCTTAGTCTTTAACAATACACATGGATGTTGATTTCTCTAATAAAATTATAAACAACTTGGGACGAAGAATTATGTCTTATTCTTTCTTGTATTCACTCATTCATTCCACAAATATTTATTGCTTATCTATTACATGCTGATCACTATTCTAAGACTGAGTATAAATAAAATGGCTCCCCACCTTCATGGAGCTTACAGACTAGTGAGGGTTACTAAAATGAATAGTCACATACATAAGTATAAACTTAGACATTTTATTTATTTATTTTTGTGGTGCTGGGGCTTGCTTACATAAGCACTATATCACTAAGTTATATCTTCAGCCCTACTTTATCACATTTTTAACATAAGTAATTAGAGGAAAATAGTATTTTCTGAAATGAGGTTCACTAGAAGGGAATTGAGTTTTGTTCTGATTGATTTGCAATGCCCATTAAGTCGTTAGGGTAAAGCTCAGGAAAGGGGGTCAGAGTAGGAAGTACAGATTTTGGATTTGCTGCAGCTTGACTATATCACCTCCAAAATTCATGTTAAAACTTAATCCCCAAAGCAACAATATTAACAGATGTTGTCTTTAGAGAGTGATTAGGTCGTGAAGACTCTGCCTTCAGAGTAGTGCTCTTATAAAAGGGCTGAAGGAAACTAGCTAGGTCCTTACACTTAGATGGCACCATTTATGAGCAATAACCCTCAGACACTGAACCTGCCTATTCCTTTATCTTGAATTTCTCAGCTTATGGAACTGTGAGAAAGTTCTGTTATTTAAAAACTATCCAGTCTCAGGTATTTTGTCATAGCAGCACAAGACAGTAAGGAAGGAGTCAGAAGCTAATGTGATTATTTAAAGTTAGGGGAGTAGATGAGAACACCTAAAGGGAAAGTAATGGAGAAGGAAAGAGAATCTATCAGAGCTCTAAAGCATTTGGGCCAGGAAGAAGTGAGTATAAGAGTTGGTTTTGACCAACAAAAAGTAGCTTTACATTATTCTAACTGAAAGAAGACAGAAAATAACACATCTTATATAAGCCATTTATATGAAATGTCCCAAATAGGCAAACCCATAGTAATGAAAACAGATTGGTGTGTGCCAGGGGGGTGACTGCTAATGTGTACAAGGTTTTCTTTGGGGGTGATGACAATACTTAGGAATTAGATGGTGGTGATAGTTATACAGACTTGTGAATATAATAAACATTCTTTAAAAGGGCGAATTTATATTACTTGAATTATGTCACAATGAAGCTTTTGATGGTTTTAAAGAAGGCAAGATTAGCTATATTTCAAGAAAGGTGTGGTCAGTTTCAAATAGTGCTGACACTAAGATGAAGACTTTAAAAAGACATAATTTTTACATGCTAAAGATCACAGAAAACCTTATCTCAAACAATATCCATAAAGGGAATAACAGGGAGAGAAAATGCATACACTCTACTTGCACCCTCTTCAAACCCTACTAAAAGTACAATAAAGGGATTTTCTTCCTCCTTTCTTGTTTTTTTCTTTTCCTTCTTTTTTTAGTGGGGATTAAACACACGGGCAGTCATCACTGAGCTATATTTCCAACCCTTTTTTAAAATTTTGAGATAGGGTCTCACTAAATTTTCAGGTTGGCATCAAATTTGATATCCTCCTGTCTCAGCCTCCCAAGGAGTTGGGATTATAGGCCAGGCTTGTGCCACTCTATGTGCCACACCTTTCAGAGGCACTACTAGAGAATGTGCTCCATTAAAAGGAGAATGCAAGGCCTGGGGATACAGCTCAGCCACAGAGCACTTGCCTAGCAGGCGCAAGGCCCTGGGTTCAGTCTCTAGCACAGCAAAAAGAAAAAGAAAAAAAGCCAAGAAAGGAAAACATGGGACATGGAAAGCTAGGAGACAGACAACAGAAATCCCCAGGAGGACAGCTGCACACCAGATACAGGATCACCAGACCTGACTAGAGTTAGTCAGAAGGCTCCATCAGTAGAATACCTGAGTAAATAAAGATTTTGAGAAGAGATCTGTAAACAGAATTAGGAGATGAAATGCTTATAAGTAATACTGATAAACTCATCAACTATAATAAGAACTTTAAGGATAATAAAAAGCACAGAGAAGGTAGTTATGGTTTAATTTTATGGCTCTCATCTTGGAATAGCAAACTTGGTCAAAACAGCAAATACTGAGTATTGTTCTAACCAAAATTATAACTTCACTGGAAAGATAATAGAAATCTGAAATGTATGTGTGGTGGGTGGGAGGTAGGAAAGAAAACCAAAACCTTGTTTTCCATAAAAGAAAGTCAAAAGATAATGTCTAAAACTGAAAAAAAAATCAAGAATTAACAATACGTGGTTGTTGACAAATACGGATGTAAGCAAAAGAGTGAACTGAAAGAGTTACATATGAACTTCAGGAAAGAAATGGGGGAAAGAGTACTGAGATTGCCACTTTTCTGAATAAGCCTTGTAGAACAAGTTAATTCTTTATGCGAAGTGATTTTTGATGAAAATAAAAATTGAAAAATGAAATATAAAGTATGACAGCCAAAGTGCCTGACCATGAAAAGAAGTAGATATAAAGGGGTAGAAAACAAATGTGGGTAAAGCAGGTTTGTTAATGTAGAAGATAACAGAGCAGAGTTAAGTGCTGATGGTCAAGATCTATTTGATGAGGGAGAATGAAAATGGAGAGGTAATCCCAGCTACTCAGGAGGCTGAAGCAGGAGGATTAGCAAGACATTGTTTCAGTATAAAGGTCTGGAGTTATAGCTCTGTGGTAGAGTGCCCCTGGTTTCAATCCTCAGTAGTAAGATAACAAGGGAACGAATGAAGGAAGGTGTGGAGAAGCTAGAGAAGTGATGGATGAAGTCACCCACTAACACACACTGGAACTTTACCTCCCACAGGTGGAGGAGTGTTTCTAAAATTAGTCAAGAAGAGAATGGGGGTGCAAGGATAGGATGATTTATAGATTGATTATCGAAGGAAGAGGGAAAGTTTCTCTTTTCTCCATATGGCACAGTCATCAATTGAGAGGGAAAATGGGAGGAGAGGGCAAGGGGAAAAGTGAACACCATCTGTCCTTGCTGAGGGTGGGAGGAAAGTCACTAAGGAACTGTAGGTACAGCATATCTGAGAAGCACCAAGTTGAAGCTGTAACCTTAGTGCCCACATGAAAGTCCAAGAACTATAATTGAATATTCTTAAAAAAATACATATATATACATAGAAGAAAGAGAAGGGGCTGTGGTTGTGGCTTAGAGGTAGAGTGTTCGCCTACCATGTATGAGGCACCAGGTTTGATCCTCAGCACCACATAAAAATAAAATAAAGATATTGTGTCCACTTATAACTAAAAAATAAATATTTTTTTAAAAAAGAAAGGGACAGAAGGAAATGAACTATTAACAGTAATTGTATCTGAATGTTAAAACTATATATTCTCTTGTAATACTCTCTATTTTTTAATTTTGAAAAGTGAGTGTGTTATAGTCATAATGGAAATATTAATCTTCACTTTTCAAAGGAAATTCTAAGTCTAGTTCATAGAACTAACTAGCACATACTGGTGAGACCATGTTCAAGAGAGGACAATAACAAAATAATGAAATTACCTAAGTATTCACTGTAATGAAAAACTGGTAAAATAATTATGTCACATTTATACAGTTCAACCCTATGCAGCTATTAAAAGAACAGGAAGTGCTTTATATGGTGACACAGAAGTATCACTAAGATATATCATTCATACATAAAAGAAAAATAATGAAGAGTGTATATAGGAGCTACCACTTCTATAAAAATTTAATTTTAAGCATACAATTTTACTAGAAGACCAGTAAAAAGAACGAAGTACATAGATATATACATACTGATATATACAAACATTTTCAAAATCTATTACTAATTTTAAAAAGAGGATACTCAACAATGTGTATACTATGTTCCCAGTTTTGCAAGAATAACACAATGGCTACATACATAATATGTATAATGCAGAAATTTTCCTTAAATTATAGTATAGGAAATATTCTCTCATAACCACAGCAACTGCTTCACACTGGTATGAAGATATTAAGTACTTTGGTACAGACATTTGCCTACCTGTTCAAGCATCACTATGGAATCTTGGAGTACTCCTTTTAAATGATGAGCCTGATCTTTGTTCTTTTTAATGTTTTCAGTTCTTGAGACAATATCAGAGGCTAAACTGAAAGAAAAATAACATCCCAAATCAAGAGAATAGCTTCTGAACTTTCATTTCCAAAAATTGTCAGTGCCCCATACATTGCAAACAAAATACAAAAGTAAACAAACAAACAAACAAAAAAAGCTAATTATGACTACAGGGTAATGAGGAGACCAGAATTTTTAAGACTGGAATTAGATTTTTCTACAACTAAAGAACTGCTGAAATAATATGGTGAAAACAGGCTGGGGAGTGGGATGACACTTACTTTAAAGATTTCTCTTCTCGGAGGTGGAGACGGTAAAAGGACTGAGCAGCATATTCTACCTTTGACAGCTTCAGAAACAGTGTCACATTCAACAAAACTAGCAACAGCAAACTAAACAGAACAAACCATACCTGGTTAATCCATACTTATACCTCAAGCATTGCTAGTACACAATATATATGCAAAAGCCTCAAAAAATGTGTATTTCTAAGACTATTTGCTAATCACTTAAATAAATCATCCCTATTTTATTGTGTTAAATAATTACTTTTAAATATTAAGTGAACATTGGGAAAAAAAAGATGGAGGGTAACTAGAGTAACAATAAAAGTCTTTAAATAACTCCAACTCACAGGTTGGGATTGTATCTGACATCTCTCCTCTCTGCTTGGAATCCCAGCCAGTATTGATATGTGACCACCAGCTTAGAAATCTACCAGGTAAGCTTTCAGGATCTATTTTTGGGTACTTTGGCTTAAGCAATTATACACCCATAATGCTGCATTTTAAAAAAGGAAATGAAGATCGATATGCAGCTGATCTTAGGTGGATAATGATCTATCTCTTTATTCCCAGTGGAACCAAAAAGAAAAACTAAACAAACAATTACCATTTAGCAAAACTTTCCTCTTGTTCATCCTGGAAAAAGGAAGTATCAAATACCCAGTATACAATAATGTTGTCAAATATAAAATGTTATATGTTAAATATACTTAATGTATTGGTATTCATAGCAACCTTTCAAGTGAATGAATACATATCTTATTACACATATATGCAAATATATAGATGACACCATATCTACTTTTTTTCTGTTAAAGCAATGACTTGACATTAAAAATATATAATGGAAGTTTGTGATATAGTTCAGTGGTAGATCTTCAGCACCACAAAAATAAAAAATAATTCACCTTTACCCTTCAAGAAAATGATTTAAGAAAAAGAAATTTAAAGGTAGCAAGAAAATAAATCTATAAAATTATTATGGCATTGAAATTATATAGGGATCAATATTTCAATATTTGACTATAAATTTTCTGCAAAGTAATGCAAAATAACATTGATAATATCTGCCATTCATTATTGTCATAGAAAGTCAATTTAAGCAAAATATGATAGCATTTTATAAAACTCAAAGGAATAACAATATTTACTGATTTGAAATCTATAATAAGAAAAATAATTAATATAAAAGCTTCATTCCAAAAAATTATCACCCAAAGTGTATCACTGAGTCAGAACCAATTCAATCAATTTAAAGGACTATCTCAAGATTCATATAGACCCATGTAGATATTAGTTCTCTAAATATAAATGGTTAAGTAGATTCCTAGAGTGTACCCTGAGATTTAAGTACATACACAAACACACGCACGCACGCACACGCATATATACATAAACACATCACTATGTGATGCTCAGATTACTTGTGTTGGAATAACCTGTGGAGTGTGCTTTAAAATACTGATTATTGATCCCTAGTAGAGATCTACCCAATCAATCTCTGGGACTGGGGCCAAGAAATTCACATTGTAGCTAACTCCCCAAGTGATTCTTAAACACAGTATATGGTAAGAACTACTGACCTAATCAAATAGAGTAAAATAGTATCATTGAGACTTTACCAGCATGTACACATAAGTATTCCTTTGAAATTTATGGAATTTCCCATAAAAACCCATAATAGTAGAAATGGATCTGATTTGTTTAAAAATTTTTAAAAATGTTTTTGAAATACATACTTGTATTCCTCCAAATTTAACTATATGAAAATCATACATCAAAAACTACATACTGAAACCTATAAAATTGCTGGGTTTGTAGGCCAACATTGGTCAAATAGTAGTAATTTCAACCCAATAATATACAAATGCATCCAAATTCTTTGGGAAACTAGTTAAAAGTAAATGAAGACACAAATAAAATGAGCATTCACAACAAATACTTACAAAATACTCATCACCACAATAACAGCAGTGTTACAGGTGTTCATTTTCTTTCCTGAAGATCACAAGAAAAAGGCTGCATTAGAGTGAAGATTGTGATTACAACTGATAAAAATTTAATGTTCATTTGAAAACTGAAAAAGAAATTTTAAAAGTTATAAGATAAAGTGATTTAGGGTAGTTTTCCCTGTGCCTCTTTTTTGATTTCTTGTATCCTATGTAAGGCAGAAAAAAATTTACAAAGAAAAACCTACATTAATCCTTCAAATTTGGGGTATATTACAAATTAATTTACTCTAAAATTAAGCAATTCATTACAGCATGTGTGATATACAGCTAAGTACTAAAAAAATAATATGTGAGCTGGATTTATGTACAGAGCTTCCTTCCTTTTAAAAAAAATCATTCTCATCTATTCACTGTTGCCTACACTTTTAAATTCCAAAATTAAAGAGCCATTAATCTTAAATAGTGTTAAACATTCACACTAAGGTATAAGCCTAAAGAGGATTTGATAATGTAGGAGAATGAGAGGTATGACAATTTTATAATGCTGAGAAGGCAGAAGCAGCAAAATGTCTTCAAAATTGAGAGTGGGGATAATAAAAGTCAATTCCATCTTTGAAACTTTCCTAAACTGGCCCTGACAGTACATAAGAACAGTCTTCTCAAAGATAGAAATCAAATGAGTGAAGTGATCCAGAAGACAGGACAAGCTATTGTGGTGGGACTGTGGCCAGCAGAGGAACACATGCACGCATCTGAAGGGGCAGCAAGGAGGAAGCTCTAACCAACTGCTGCTGTGAAGGGTTGTCAGATCTGAGTTTTTGTATAAAAATGTCCAATTTTTAAAATGCTGTGTGGGTTAAATAGAATACTTTTGGCCATATGCCTGCCATTTTAATAACTGCTCCTTTATGCTTTAGTATTTGTTATCTTTAAGGATCTCAAGAGTGTGATAAACATTATCAAAATGATAGGGAAGAAAGACAGACATCCTGACATACAAACAAGGGAGACCTTCTGCTTTCTATAACTGAGCTAAAGTCCTTCATCTGTTCACCAACAACAGCTACCTGTAACATCCCCTTTGGTCTCTAAGCCCATATCTCCAGAAGAATGCTGAGAAGAAAGGTTAGGAACTGTTTCTGCTGTTCGGTTGAAAGTTCGCCTTCTCCTCCGCAGGCAGCTAAGTTTTCCAGGGTCTTCAATAGATTGATTTAACGAAGATTCTTCCATTAACAAATCTGATTCTAAGAAGGAAAACAAAATCTTTAAATACAGGGAAACCTTCTCAACTCTAAGATAGTAGGGTTTTTTAAAGATTTAACTATCTGTTAGATTCTTATGGCCTAGATTCAAACTTTATTCTTAATGAAAAGCTTTAGAGAGTATGATGACCCCCATAATGAGGTTTTATTTTTCTAGGAAGAATGTGTATTAACAAATGATGGGATCATCAATGCCAATTTGCCATGTGCTATATTAAATATTAATGTAATGGTTTCAGTTATGGAAACAACAGGCCACCCACTTACAATGGATCATTAGAAAAATCTCCAAAATAGGCTAAGATACTTGTCAACCTCAAAGGAAGGACTAGCATATAATAGTTTTAATTTTCAATGAGGGTTTGCAAGAAAGGAAGCACAAGTAAAAAAAAAATCTACACAAGCTGAAATCCTCATTTTTGTTATTTCTTTCAACCTTTTCCTTCACAAGATTTTTTAAATTAGCTCATTATTCAGTGACCAAAATAATTTTTGAGTTTTATTTTCTCTGCTTCTTATGAGAAGTTTACTAATGAAATAGTCAAAGAGAATAAGGCCAGGAAAATAATCAACAAAACTAAATGATACTATGAAATGAATGACCTCCAGTTTTTCCTCAATTAAAATTACATTCACATATGTATATATTTAAAAACATCCAAACAGAATAGCTGTATCACTTCCCCAGTCACTCCTTAGTACCTACCTCCACCAAATCTATACATGTATATAACACCATTGGTAAGTGGGCCTCCACAAGTCCAGGAAACCTTCCACAAAGAAGAAAGTTCCAGATCTTAGAGAGCACAGGATATATCTGTGACCTGATCACATAATCCTCTCTCTGTATTCATCTTTCTTGGTTCCTTGCAGAGGCAGGGGTTGTGATAGCTCTTCACTGTATAATACTGGACAAGTCACTTAACCATACCATGTTTCAATTTCCTCTATACTAAAGTGGAAAAGCATAATCATTCCTATTTGCAGGGCTGGATGAGTATGAAATGAGTTAGTATTTATAAAGTACAAAAAATTTTATTATATATCTGGCATTAATAAACATTATGTAAGTGTTTGATAGACCATTAAAAATCTGAAGTTTTGAAATCCCATAAGAGATAGAGCAAGTAGGGGATTTTGAACCACTTTAGTGAATCATTCCCACCATCATCTATTGTCTCCTGCTATGAATCCAAATGAAAAAGCAATTTATCTTATTAATAAGTGCTACCTTTACAGAAATAGATGCATCAAAAACTTTACAAACCAAGCTGTTTAAAATACTGCTCCAAAGAACTCCAGGAATTCTTTTCAATTAAAGATTTGACAAGTCCCCATGGTTGTTTTCTGTATTTCAAATCTGTGGAAACTCTAATAGGATAAGAAGGAAAAAATATTTATTTAAGGTCATACTATAGTTATATTAATATTATAATTAAATGAAAGATTATATTCAGTGGAAAGCCAAAAGGATTCAAAGTCATTAAGATTTTAAAAGAAAATTTGTTCACTAATAATGCCTTCAAAAAACTACTGAATTGTTAATAATTTCATCAAATTCTCCTTTTAAATACTTGCTATTATATTTCTTTCCTTTCTCTAATCCTGAATTTTTCTTACTGATATAGCAATCATGGCTCTAAATAAATGCTAAATTTTCTTCATGCCTTGTATGAAATTTCTAGTGGTCACATATTTGTTAAGAGTAACCACATTAACTAGGACTAGGCCAGGCATATGATAGCTCATCACACTTCAATGCACCAATCCTCACTTCCCACTGCAGCCAGTTACTGCTCGCCATCTGCTCCCCCAGAACTCCCAGCCCCCCTGCCCTAAAATAAGGTCATGGGATGAGTTCAGGGCAATGGACTGTGAGCTCAATTCTATAGCTTTCTCTTTCTATAGCAACTGAAATGACACTTATGGATTGTGTGGTAGGATGTTAAAGCTGTTATCAATTGGAGTCTCGGGTAAAGAGCCCCACCCCTCTTCTGATCTCTGAGGATATATAATTTAAGCAAGAAATAAAGCTTCATTGTATAAACCTAAAAATTCAGGGTTAAAATGTTACCAGAGCATAATTTAGCCTACTCTGACTATACACTCATTGATGATAGCTCACCTTAGCCTGCATTTCTGTTTTGAAGATGGGATGATACAGTATCTGTTCAGTGTATAGAAGTAATCATGGTAGGGGACATCATGTGTCAGTACTTCTGAATCTATTAAATAAAATTGTGCTTCTCGACTTTCTTTATACAGTGTCTGCCAAAATAAGATTTTAAAAATGTTGGCATGTACATTTTAACAATTTTATAAGTTTTTTGGCAATTTAGAACATATATACTAGAATTCCTTCCCAGAAGTTACAAAAGACATGAGAAATCTATATACCAAGCTAGAAGAACCTCCACGTTGACTGTGACATCTATGAAGTGAGAAGGGGCCCACAGAAATAGATTTAATGTCCCACTGTCATTTCACTATACAATTAATTTTTTATTTTAGGCATGAGGAGGGGAAAGGAACCATATAATCTCTTGAATGTTTCTTAGTTTATAAGAAGTTTTAAATCTTTGCATTGGAGGACATTCAAAAATCAACTGAATAATACAAAAATTCATCAAAAATAATACAAAATTTATCAAAGTTTAACCAAGCCACCCTTCACCCAAATAGCAAAGGCAACCAAAAAATATTGCTTTTGTTATACCAGATTTAAAGTGGCTGTCAGATAAACCTTCCTCATTTTAACCATATCTTTTCTACCTATCCTCTAAGAGGGGAAAATGAGGTTTCCAAGGTTATTAAAGATTCCCTGATACAAAAATACCAAACTTTTCTTATATGTTTGACAATATTTAAAAAAATTTAAAAGGTAATGAACAAAACTGCAAAAGCATAGATTATAATGGGTATTTACAAAACAGGTACATTACACTTAAACACAAGTTGCCAATACTGTCATTATTGATTATAGTATTGATTACTCCAAGATAGTGCCAAACTGGTCATTAAATAGCTTATGTTTGGTTTCTTTCCCATGTTTCACAATAGCCATCTAGTTATTTGGTACTAAGTTTTGACATGATTCTGCAAGTTGGATTTTAGAAGTGCTCTTTTTAAAATATTTTATTATGAAAAATTGTTAACACAGTAGAAGAAATGAAGTATAATGAGCCCTCATGAGCTCATCAACCAACTTTAATAACATTATCTACTGCCCAATTTTTTTTATCTGTACCCAACTCCCACATTCCCTCCTTCTACCACCATTTTTTTGCCTGGCTAGATTAGTTTTAAAAGAATCTCAGGCATCAATATACTTTCATTCATAAATATCTCAGCATATCTCTTTTACACACACACAGACACACACACATATACTGATATATTTCTTTTAAAAATAGTGTGTTCCTTAAAACACAGCTACAGTGCCATTATTATGTATAACAAGTTAATAATTCTTTTTAACAGGTAGTTTATTTAATTAAGTTTGGATTAATATGGTTTATATGCCTGGTAAATCTCTTGTAACCTCCAACAGTCCCCCTTCCTTTTTTTTTCCTCCATTTTTTTGTTGAAATTATCTTGTAAATTGGTGACTATGGTAGACAGGTTCTCTCTCATCACACACACGATTCTTTCAGAATACTGACAGGATAGGCATACCTGCTTTTCAGTGGCAGCAGTGCACTTTCTAGTAAGTGGATTATTAAGGACTATAGTGTAGGTCATGTTTCTCAGTTGATCACCTCCAGATTCTACAGTCCAAGGAGTAGACACTACATCTAGTCATGGGAAACATAAAACATGTTAGCTCTAGAAATTTTAAGTGCATGACTTTAAATAGAATCAAAAGTATTATTTTAGAATTAGTTTTTAAAAAATGGTTTGCTTTTGCATTTTTTTCCTACAGTGTGGGAGACCAAACTTAGGGGCTAGCACATGTTAAACAAGCACTCTACCACTGAGCTATAACCATCAGCCCTAAATTTTTATTTTTGACCAATCCTGAGCCCCTTATAATTATGTATGTTCAATGCTGAAGAAAAAGAAATTAGCTGGGCATGGTGGAGCACACATGTCACCTCGGCTGCTCAGGAGACTAAAGCAGGAACTTTTCAAGTTCAAGGCCAGCCTGGTCAACTTAGTGAGACCCTGTCTCAAAACAAAAAGGTCTATGGATGTAACTCAGTGGTAGAATACCCTGAATTCAACCCCAATGCCAGAAAAAAAGAAAAAAGGAAGGAAGGAAGGAAGGTGGGGAGAGAGGGAGAGATTAAACATTAGATAGTCTTATGTTACATATACATGTGTTTGATCTACTTATTCCTAAACTGTTTCTTATTAATACAATTTTTCTTTTTTTTTAGAAGATAAAATTAAAAGTTGGTTTAGCTATAAGCTTCTCTTTAAAGTCCCCAGTACCTATGGACAAAAGTAATGGCAACAACCTTATCAAACAGAACAATACTTCAATATACTATCATTGAGGACAAAACTTTAGAAGACATTTATTTTTATATAACAATATGACCTTGATAACCACTTGTAAAGAAATCATGTCAACATCATGAGAAGTCAGAATATTAGCAGTTTGTCTACAACATCTTCAATCAAGGTAAGGCAATAGGATGAAAAAATGATTACATTCTATATAAACTTTTTTATATTAACAGGGCTATAGGAACATCTCCATATTTTTGACAGGATCTTGGTCAGAGTTCTATTTTATTTACTGAGGAACAGCACAGTAAGTGAAAACACACTTTGAAGAGAAATGTAGCTCTAGATTACAGCACCATACAATTAGTTAAATACAGATAAAAGCAGTATGGACTCTATTCAAAGACCTGACACCTGATGGCACGAGGACAAATGGACTTGGGCAATAACTCAGTATGTTTTGCTGCTATTCACCAGCATTCTAAAGTTTAGGAGCCTTTATCTAACCTATTATCCATCATAAAAAAAAATGAAGCAAAGATTTATGATATAGTCAATTTTACTTAATTTCTTTTATACAGCTAGGCCTAGGGATTTAATTATGGACCATGAAGCTGCTTCTTGAGTATCTGGCAAAACCTTATAACTAAATTAAAAAGGCAACATCATGAACCATAAAATCTTTATCCAGGATTTGCTGAAAAAAAGGATTTATTTGGGTGTTCATAAAAGAAGATATACAATTAATTCTAAAATACTGTTTCGGAAGATTGCTTTGGTCATGTCAGCCTATTTCAGGAAAATGACATGAATAACCAATTGCATATCAAAATTGAAAGATATCATTGATTTCTGATATTTTAATTGCATACTATTCAATAAAACAATAAACAAGGATAAAAGAAAAATATCTATTTTCCCCTGTATGTTATGTTTGCATTTTTAACAATGTTACCAACAAGATGCACTAAATATCATTTGCCAGACATCACATAATTAACATCATATTAGAAATAAGTCCTCCAATATCTAAATAAAGTTCATGATAATATAAAAAAATACTAGAATGAAATTATAAGAAAAGTGGCAATAGTGTACAAAAGGACACATGAGTCATCTGATATACTGAGTTAAAGTAATAAAGTACAGAGCAGGGATTGTAGAACAAACACTTTAAATTTTTAATTTAAATATTTAATTTAAATATTTAAACTGGTGAAACTTAACACCCATTAGGATCCTTATTATTTTTTCTTTTTTATTTATATATGACAGTGGAATGCATTACAATTCTGATTACACATAGAGAGCACAGGATCCTTATTATTTTTAAAAAATAGAAAATAACAAGTGTTGGTGAGGATGTGGAGAAACCAGAACCTCTGTCCACTACTGGTGGGAATGGAAAATGGTATGATTATTATGGAAAACAGCGTGATCTTTCTCAAAAAATTAAACATAGAGTTATCTTATGATGTAACAACTCCACTTGTAAGTATATACCCAAAAGAGCTGAAGGCAGGGACTTGAACAGGTATTTATACATCAGTATTCACAGCAGCATTATTCATAGTAGCCAAAAAATGTAAATGACCAAATGTCATTAGCAGATGAATGAATAAACAGAATGTACTACTGTATATGCGTACAATGGAATGTTATTCTGCCTTAAAAAGTTATAAAATTCTGACACATGCTACAACATGGATGAATAAACCTTGAAGGCATGCTAAGTGTAATAAGCCCATCATTTAAGGACAAATATTGTATGATTCCACTTACACAAGGTACCTAGAGTAGCTAAACTCAGAGACAGAAAATATAATGGAGGTCACCAGGAACAAAGGGAAAGGAAAAACAGAAAGTTATTATTTAGTAGGTTCAGAGCTTGCTTGGGATAATGAAGTTCTGAAAATGAATGGTGATAACGTTTCTGCAACAATATGAATGTACTAAATGCCTCTGAACTGTACACTTAAAAATGGGTCTTATGTATATTTTATCATAATTTTTAAAATTGATAAATCTAGGTAGAGGGTATATGGATGTTATTATACATGCAAATTCTTTTACATTTTCAAAATGAAAAATTTGTATAAAAGTACTGAAAGCTGAGTTTTTAATTACAGGTAGTGTCACACAACTGTAAATTAAGATTAAATAGAAGATCCACTTAAAAACTCCTTGTTTTTTTTAAAGATATCCAGTAGTGACCATTTCAATGCTGGAATTAGACTTAACCCACAATAGTCAATTACACAAAAATATTAAATTTTTACATTTTTAAAAGATGCCTTTGAAACTCATAATTAAGAAATACAATTCGATTACCAGGTAAAAGGTTCCAAGGACAGCAGTATGTTTTGCAGCCATGTGCAAATTGTCTTTTGAGGGAAAGTTTTTCCCTATAATCTTGCACTGTGCCTATAATTGTTCAGATTGTGATTATGTAGAAATCTTTGCTTCCAAAGCCATTTATAACATCAGATAGCAGATATAGTCATCCATATTGAAGCCAGGTATGATATCAGACAACAAACGTAATTATGTTTCAAAACCTGAACTTCATTTAGTATAAAGCATGGAATAAACATGCTAGTCCCTTTGGGGGTTTTTCAGCCATAAAAAAATGGCAGTGCAATGTCAATAGGCATCACTTAGAAAATTAAGGGAAATAATAAATCTGAGTCTTCTACTTCTCCAAGTAGAAATGAATAACAATAAAATATAAAATAAATTCCAAAGAGAGATAATAAGTTAATATAAGATACTGAGTGAAGAGGAAAATTTATAACTCTCCAATAAGCCACACTTTAAAAAAAACACATTTTTAAAAACAAAAGAAAGTGATTTATTAAAACCATGAATCAATATAATCACAAGAGTCAATATCTATCAATTAGAAATATCTTTGCTATTCTACTGTGTATAAGAAAAAATTTATTTTTATATGTAGAAACAATATTGATAATATCATCTATGAATATATAATTATGTTTACATAAAAGTTTCAAATAAAGGAATAACATTTAGTGGTAAATAAAATCCATAGATTAAAAATTTTATTTAAATTGATTATACAATAACTTTCTCATAAGCAACTTACCTTATGTCAATCTCTGATGCTGCTACATTCTAATTCTATATAGCAAACTAAACCACTTACTCCCAAAGTTAGTAAAGTATCTGGAAATGTTTAGGTTATATTCATTTTTAAACTATAAGATATTCGAGATATTTACCTTGATCATTGAAATCCTTCCAAATTCCTAAAAAACTTTATTTTTTTTCACTAAAATATATAATCTCAAATACATAGGTCCATGCTTTTCACAAAGGAAAGATATACATGTGCCCCACTCAGACTAAGATATAAAATGTCTACCAGTATCCCAAAAGCTTCCTCCCAGTCTTTACCCACTGACTCTCCACAACTGAAATCACTATGTCGACTTTATAAGTTTATTTTGTCTGTTTTTAAACTTTATATACAGAAATTATATACCATGTGTTCTTTTGTACCTGGTTTCTTAGCTTAACATTGTGTCTGAGGTTCCTTCATACTACAGTTTGCCATTGTTTTCATTAGTATATAGTATTATTCTATGGAAGCTTTGGAATTTATATATTTTATTATTGATAGATATTTGGAAGGTTCTGAGTTTGGACTATTATAAATAAAGCTACTGTGAACACTACAGCAGATGTCATTCAGAGAACTCATGTGCCCATTTCTCAGGGGTGTACACCTAAGGAGTGGAATCTCTGAGTTAGAGAATTCATAGCTTTAACAAACATTAGCAAACCATTTGGAAAGTGGTTGTTCTAGTTTATATTCTACCAGAATCCAGTTGTTCCACAGTGGATGCTTTTGAACTAGATTCATCCCAATTGAATAGATACATAAATGAATAAATATAGTTTTAGTTTTTAAAGGGTTTGAATTTATTTTAAGTAGCATCTGTCTAGTTAAACAATTAAACCATTCACGTGTGAATTTAACCCAACATTTAAAAACTAGTTTATATATCACCAAAATAATCAAAGCAGATCTAATATTTTCCCCTGATATCATAAATCAGTTTATATATGCTAAACATTCTAAGGATAGAATTTATCATTAGGAAAGAATACAAGGACCAACCTATTATATTTCTAGAACTGGAAAATCTCTGCATAAAGCGTGAACTAGTGAAGAGCAATTCAAACATCCTCTCAGCACTGATATGAAAAACTCGATTGATATAAAGTCTTCCTCGAAGATCTTTCTCAGGAAAATCTTCTAGAAAAACAAAAATATACACCAAAGAGAAGTTAAGAAAAGGTAATTTCAATGAGTGTATGTATGGGTATATTCTTTTGGGCACAAAATGTTTTTTAAATGTGATTACAATGATCATTGCATTCTAGTACACTATCAAAACTCCAAATAGAATAATATGTATGCACTATATATATTTATGTAAACATAAGTATGTATAGTTGACTACATATAATCAAATATTTCAATTATTAAAATCTAGAAAATATAGGAATATTTTACTGGAATGATATCAAACTCTTGATACTCAAAAGAATATTTCATAAGTGATTAAAACAATATTGAGGGCTGGGGTTGTGGTGCAGCGGTAGAGCGCTTGCCTAGTACATGTGAGGCCCTGGGTTCGATCCTCAGCACCACATAAAAATAAATAAATAAAGGTATTATGTCCAACTGCAGCTAAAAAATAAATATTAAAAAAAACAATATTGAGACACACAGCCATTAGTAGGTCCTATCTCTCCATACTCATACATTCAGTAAATATTTAGTCATCAATGGCTATAGTATCTGCTATGCTCACTAGCTTGTCAGCCTGAATGATACAACCTGACTGCTAACTCCCCCAAGACAAGGATCACTATATTCACAATAATACCAATACCACACATTAAAAGAATAGGTATACCCTCTGAAAAATACTCTTCAAAGCCAAACAATGCCCAATGGAACACATTTGTTTTTTCTAAGAACTAATGACGATGTTGAAAACTAGCAAGTAAAGAAAGTTATATTTGTTCATCTCTTCTCATGCTCCCTGGAAACATTAGATAAAAATGGCCCATATTTACATAATATTTTCCATGTGTCAGAGGTACTAAGTACCTCTCACTGCATTCCTCCGAAAAAAGTGGTATCATCATCATCATTTCTATTTTACGAATGAGGAAATGGACACATAGAGAGAAGTGTCAGGGCTCCACTGACAAACCAGTGTCAGTGACTGGTTTGGGAACTGAACCCACTTCAGCTCTAGAGCACACAAGCATAACCTTTATTTTAGGCTGCCAGAAAGCATTTTACTTCAAAGAATCAAAAAGAAAAAGACAGATAGGTATAAGAACTCTGTATAATAAAGAAAAAAGTGAAAAGGAATCCAACGTGAAAGTTTAATCATTTAAGGATAGGTATTACTTCTTATTTCAAGGGTTATGCTCCATCAATACAAAATAAAAATTATGACAAAAGCTCCCCATATTTCAGAAATCAAGCTCTGAGAATTACCTGTGCAAAGCACATGTCAATATTAATCCATGGGAACTAGTCCATTTAAATGAAAGGCAATGGCCTATGAATCAGAAAAAAACTCCTGTAGCTCTAGTTTCAGCTCCAATTATCACTATTTTTACCTTATTAAATGATCTGTACCTCTCTATTTTGTTACAAGTGCAAAGAACTTAGGGACACATGGTAGATATTGACTTATCTTCACCCTGCAATAATACTGTATGTCAGAAAAAATGATTCACTTCAATTTCAAATAATAGCTTTTTTGGTATAGGAACAAATCACTAAAATTAGGCAATCCGCTGAGGTTTTATGAAGTAACTCCCCAATTAGGGTTGCAAAACAGCTTTTGCCCACATAGAAGTATTATTTGTTCATGCAAAAAATAACTCAAATACACAAAAAAGCAAACTAGAGATAATTCTATTGATCCTGCCATTTCTTCACAGAACCTATCCTTATTTGTAATTAAACTTTTGGTGTCTTATTCACTTGCTTACTATATCTCTCCTGTACTTGACTATATGATCCATGCAAGTTGGGATAATGTCAGTTTTAAACTTTTACATTCAGTGTTTGACATATAAGAACTGTATTTTTGAATGCATAAATTAATACAGAAAATGCTAGAAATATCTTAGGTTCTATTTTTGTATCTAGGACTTTTGAATTTGTAACCTCTAAAAAAACTTCTTATTTTATTTTGAGATATATAATTAATTAAACTATGATTTATCCCCCTTCCAGTAATGTCCTTTTTCTGTATAAGAATAAAATCCAAAACACTACATTCCATTGGACTAGTGAAGTTATTTTATTTTTTAGGTTATAATCTAATACTGTCACTATTTATTTTGTTCCTCAAATTATTTAACTATTTGATTTGGTCATTAGGAGCTCCTTCAGGTTGGTGCCTGTATTTTTTTGACATGTCCACCCTCTCCCACTTCCTTACTTTCTGGCACCACAATGTGCTCCAAGCTCATCTTCAATTTTCTCTATTCTTAGAATCAGCTATTCTTCTAAGGATCCCTGGGACTATAACTTTTCAAAAATAAATTTCTTGGGGCTAGGGATGTAGAACACTTGCCTAGTATGTGTGAGACCCTAGATTCAATCCCAGCACCAAAAATGTAAGCCTCTTATTCATCTGTAAAAGGGGAAAATTGCACTCATGCATATTTCAGTACTGGGAATTGAACCCAGGGACACTCTGCCACTGAGCTACATACATTCCCATCCCTTTTTAAAAAATAATTATTCTCAGACAGAATCTCACTATGTTGCTGAGGCTGGCCATGAATTTGTCATGCTCCTGCCTCAGTCTCCTGAGTTGCTGGGATTACAGGTGTGCACCACTGTGCCTGACTCAATACAATATTTCATATTTCTTTTAAATCCTATTTTTAGACAACAGATTCTGAATTACTATTAATAAAAATATAATTTGTTGTATGACTATAAGGAATGAACAACCATCTATTTTGTATGTAAATTTATTCAAGGGAGTAAGTAAATGAAATAAATTATTTCCACATGGGATTATTCATTTATGAAATTCATATACTTCAAAGTCTCCTATCTGAATAACATCGCCAATAGTATTGATATAATATATTAAGCTAGAGGGGGTATTGCTCCATTCAGTAGAAGGTTACTATGGCCAATAAAGAAGAAATGGTATTTTAAACATATCAGTTTAAAAGCAGCCAGTGGAGAGTATGTAAAGTGAGACAAATAAATATAGGAGAAATGCATGAACATAAATGAAACTGAAAATATATGCTGGCAGTTTTTTGATGGTACTTTAAAAATGTAGTAGGTAGGTATGAAAAAAAAAAAAAAGCAGTTGATTGAAGCTTAATTTAGTAACTAAGGACCCGCAATCAGTTATATCCTCCATTTTCTAAAAACTAGTGACCTGCTATCTTCTTGATTCAGGTATTCCTTACACCTGAAAACTAAGTTCAATTGAATGTGTTGTTCAAAAATCCAATTCACAGGCTGGGGTTGTGGCTCAGTGGAGAGCGCTCACTTAGCATGTGTGAAGCCCTGGGTTTAATCCTCAGCACCATATAAAGATAAATAAAAAAGGTATTGTGTCCATCTACAACTAAAAAATATTAAAAAAAAATCCAACTCAGGTAACTGTTGGGTTACCTGGTTTAAGCTCAGGGCTGCTTCACTGATATGCTAGCTTATCATGTGGCTTTTTCTCTGGCTTTTGCCAGAGTCTACTTGTCTTTGACTTTAGTAATTAATAAGCATTATCCAAAATTTCAATTCCTGTTACTCTTTGCTTGGCTTTGCCTCTAATTCATCTTTTTCTGTCAGTTATGGGTCATGGATTTCAATTTTGCTATCCTTTTGTGTTGTCCTCACAACCTAATCTTCGCTTGAGTTGTAGCTTCCATTCTCTGCATAAGCGTCCTGTCACCATGACATTTCTTTGTTCTTGACACATGCAACAGCTCATCTTCATTTCCCAGGAAACTCCCAGCATCTTTTAAACTCCTTCCCAACTTCCCCTGGCTAGAGAAAGTCTATCCACAATGATCCTTTAAATAGATGAAGAAATTCTGTAGCTTATTCTATAAATCATATCAAAGATTAAAAATAGAAATATGATTTAACATATTAAACACAATGCTTATTTTGTTTAGGAGCTAGGTGGAGGGAGCCCAGTTCTGAAAGGATAGAAATAGCTAGAAAAAGGACACCCTTCAATCTTGTTGTATTCTAAACTGCTTAGCATAGAGGAAGATCATTAAAGTAGATGTTAGCCCAAGCAGATTCTAGTCAAAATTTCTCTATCTGTGTTCCACTTAAATTCCTCATCAAAGATTGGGGCCAAAAGTTTCAGCATTTCCCTCATAAGACATTTCATGATGCTCTGATTTGTTAAGTCCTGTCAGGAATACATGGGTCTCTATATAAAAATAGAGTCTCTATATCAAAATAGTGGAGTGTCTATATCAAAATAGTTTAGGGCCCCCACTCTCCAAAATTATAGCATGTGGGGAACAGAAAAGGTGAAAAAATATTGTCATTTTCTCACTCAGCCTGGTCACAAAAATAGATGAAAACACTATCATTTAAACAAAATTATGTTTGGTTTAAAGTGATCTGTCACCCATTCAGCTCCCTCTCAATCACACACACATCTCCAGGTCTCTTGAGATGGTTTACTACTTCTGGCCTTTCCCATTTTCTCCCCAATTCCCTTACTTCAAGTGTCTATATAACTTTACAATTTTAAGAAAATGAAAACTAGATTGATTATTATACCCATTTGATACATCTGACATGATTTTGGAACCCATTTGAGGAAAGCAGCAGGAGTCCAGAATTGTTACCTAATGATAATCTAATAAGAAGAAGTCATTATGCCACACACCTTAAGGAAAACTGCCACAAACAGAGGGTGTTACATGTTAAGTTTTTATTGCTGTAAAGCTGAACAGTCTTTGAAGGGGAAGGAGCAAGGAAAAAAATGTGATCAGTGTTCATATATAATACAGAAAATATACCACTATTATTCTTTACTCATGGTTATATGCACAGCTTTTATGAGTTTATGTTGTCCCCTGTATAACTTTATCATTAATGTTAATTTAATAGGAACTCAATAATGAAATTACTTTTTCAAGGACCATTCTTATAAAACTACAGGTGAGAGGTAGACAGACAAATAAATAAATCCTTATTTTGGTGTCACTTACCTATTTGGCCACTGGGTGCCAGAGTAGATCTTCTAAAGCTTGATTCAGTCAGGCAGGGTGTAACTAATTCCTGCCCTGCTGCATACCAAAGCACTGATAAAGCACTCACTACCCTACCTCCTTACCAATGACTCCCACTGCAATGACTTCAATGTCAATGATCTTATAATTTTTAAAAAAGATTCCTGAAAATACCTACTTAATAAGTATGACAAGCCCCAGGTTGTGGGTTCTAACATAAAGTACAGAGAACACAATTTGCTATAAAGTTTCTTTTAAACAACTACTTTTTATACTTATGATATTCTCAACTTTTGCCTGCCTCCCCCTTCCTCTCTCCCTGCTCCATCTCTTCCTACCTTTCTTCCCCTTTGTGAGAAGGTGAGGAAAAGACATGTGAGGACATAGCAAGAAGGTAGCTATCTACAAGCCCAGAGAATCCTCACCTTAATCAAGGATTTCTATCCTCCAGAATAATAAGAAAATACATTTCTGTTGTTTAAGCCACACAGGCTGTGGTATTTTGTTAGGGCAGCCCAATCTGATTAAGTCAATCTTAGTAAGTATGCAAGGGTTGTACTGGCAGGCCTGTCACACCTCTGTCCTTTCTTCTAGGCCTTAAGTGCCCACCGAGGTTAATACTCCTATAGGGATGATCTTCCCTTCTAGATTGGGAAAAGGTCAAACATGGTGACTGATGGGTAAGTCTATCTCATTCATCAGCTCAATCAGCAGCCCAAGTACCTTTGTCACACATCTTCATCCTCTAACTTTGCCACTATTACTATTAGAAGTGATATTTTGGGCTCTATAAGACTTGCTTTTTGTTTTCTTTCCCAATTTTGTAACAACAAGGGTGGTCAAGAAAGATGGCTGTTTGTTGAGCCACTAGAGACCCCATGTATGCAAGGATTACAATACTAAACATGTATTTAAAATGCCATCTGGAATATAATACTTCTGAGATTCAGAAGGTCTCTGGTTTGTAATTTTCATTATTATTCATCATTATATTAGAATTAAATTAAATCTCTGTTGGCCTTCTAAAACTAAGTAAGTTGCTTTTTAATGCCATGTGGAACATTATTTATCATTTGTTTTGGTAATAAATTTCAACTGTAGAATGTTCATTTAAAAACAAATTGAAATTGAATGAAGTTTTTAAAAACTGAATGGAAATTGGCTATAGTAAATGCATACCAAATTCAGAAGAAATTATGAACTGTCCATGCGCCTGCTTTAAAAAACTCACCCCATTATTCAATCAAAAGATTTTATCTTCCACATTCAAAAGTAGAATATTCTTCTGAGTAATACAATGAGTAATATTTTTTAAAAAGTTTCCTTGTTAGAAATTTTGATATTCTTTATTACCTTTGGGAAGCTACTCAATAAACTAAATTAATATCCATTTCAGAATGTGCCCCTACTACAAATACTTGCTTTCATAATTATACACCTTTGCTAAGGTATCTTTTTTAAAGAAAAAGGAGGAAAAGAAACAATAATTTTGGAAGTACTGGATAAAGTAAAAAGAGCATTAACCTAAGAGACCTGGTCACTTAATTCCAGCTATATATAGTGAACTGGCAGCATAATTTTAGACTGAACCCATCTAGGTCTTACTTTCCCTAACAGTTACCTAGATAAACCAATAGATCACTCCACCTATAAAATGTGAGCATTTTACCCTGCCTGGTATGTGGGAGTGGGCATGCAGATTTTTATTAACAGATTTGCTTTTCCACTGGTACTTATTCAATGGTTGGGATTTTAAAAGCTAAATATAATGGATATTTTCAAATTCCAGGCTTTGAAAATAGTGCAGATGGGTTAGATTTAGTAGGCTTTCTCCTGTTTTCTATAAACTTTCATTTCTTTTAAGATTCTTTATAGGGCAAGACTTCATCTAACAAAACCAAATTCTCAATCTGCAGACACCTAATACAAAGATAAACATTAAGACTTACTTTCAATTTTTTAAAAAATTTCCAGAAATTCTTTACCTTCATCAACAGAATCTGAAGTGCTGCTTTTTTCCAGAGAAAGATATTCATTTTTGTTCAAATACAGCGATTTTGATGGCATTCTATTTAACCTCTTTTCTGAAGTTAGTAAAGGACTCTTTTGGATCTGTTTCTCACTTTCAGGCTCCTCTTTCCCTAATGCCTAAAAGGCATATAACACAGTTAGTGAAAAACAAATTTTAAGCCTAGATTTTACAGTGAGAACTTTTATTTAAAGATTATTAAGGATGTTTTCAAATACTGCTCTTTGAAAAATATTTGTAGCATTTTGTTTATTAGGGCTGAATCAATCACATTTCCAAGGCTGCTAAATGTGGGCCCATGAAATGTCAGTAAATAATACATGCCTTCCTGAAGTCATCTTCTTACACAGTAATAAACAACAAATTTATATAAAAGAACTCACATAAAGTTAATGTCATGTGAAATAAGTAAGCAGAAGGGAAAGGGACAAAGGGCAAAAATAATGCAATAATCAGTTTTTTAGAATGAACAAAGGAGAATAACCAAACCCACTACTTTCCCCAGCCAATGTCTGCCCCATCATCTCAAGGAAGAGAATTCACCTACCTCTCAAAACCAGTAACTAAAGCAGAAAGGGGAAAGAAAATAGAGAGATAAAAGTCACATAAGAGTACAGTGGGGAAGACAAGATTCAAAGGGAAATTAATTTCATAGCAAACTCAAAAGCACACAATTGGCTTTACTGTTAAGAGCCTAAGCATTAAAATATATTCGATATATGATGCTATCTATACCTTTGGGGATGGTTTGATAAAGACGTGTCATTTCTACAGTAAACTAATGCTAAGCATTAAAGCATGAATACAATTACTATGTTAATATTCAGATAGGCTAGTTTTACAATCAGGCTTAGTAGGACAGTGTAAAAAAATAAAACTGTATAAACTGTACAGCAAAGTACTTCCTTGCAATATCTATGTGTACACAGATGAAAGAGCAAAAGCTACATACACAATTCTTTGACTTCCTGCCCCAGGAGATTCTTGAGCAACACTGAACAGGAAAACAACTCTAGGGAGGATATAGGTTTCCATTGGCCACCCAGAAGCATAACAACAACTGGGAACAGGACACAATTTACTAAAGGATTAGACTACCCTAGTCAGAGGAAAGATTCTTTAGGCAGAGATTACTACTAAAATCAAGAGCTGATGTGTTTGGGAGTTCCACACTATAAAGCAGCATGCTTAAGCAGCACCAGGGCTCTAACATATGCTAAGTAGAGTAAGTTTCTCTAACTCCACATTTATGTTTCCCCTCTTGTTGCTAATTAAATTATATTTCTTATAAAGAATATAGATAGGGCTTGAAATATAGCTTAGTGGTAGAGTTCTTGCCTAGCATGCATGAAGCCCTGAGTTCAATCCCCACCATGGGGGGGGGGGGGGAATTTAGATTGATACATATAAGAAAAGTAACAGTGACTATTTCAGTGGGTGGCATTTAGACAGTTTTTATTTCTTCATTTATTCTTCTACATTTCAAAAAGTTTTACAAAGAGTGTTAATTTTAATAACTTAAAAAGCATGTTTTCATCTTGGAAAAAAAATTGCTTCAGATTTTTTCTTATTTCTAACTTGTGCTAGAAGTGAAAATAAGCCAAACTAAGTGACACACAATATTTGTTGACATCTGAGAATCTCCCCAAACTGCTCTTGAAAGCAAAAGGGAAAAATAAGGAATAAGGACCAAATTTCTATATTACTTATATTCCATAACCTAAAAACAACTATACTAAACACATCAAGGAATGTCTGATTGATCTCATAACATTGTTACTCTTCTATACTCCATTCTTTTATTGAGATCAAATGTGACCTTCTTTAGGAACAAAACTAGAGGCAAGAACCAACAGGTTAAGCATTCAAGAGTTGGTATAGAAGAAATTGTAGAGAGGTTGTAGGAAGGACTCAAGCAGAGATTAGCAGTTCTGAAAACCCAGTCCTTAAAGTCAGACTTCTATAAAAGAATAAGGAGACTACACGAAATTCCCTATCTTGTTACCTCACCCAAGTTCAGTAGTTTCATCATCTCAGTGAGAACATGCAAAGAGATTAACATCCAGAGTCAAATTCCTTGTATCAGTAGTGAGTCCTTAAGTGTCTCTCAGTGCATACATTTTTCAAGAAATCCAGAACACAAAACCAGGCTGAGGTAGTTGCATGATAGATGATGGTTGCCTAAGGCAAGTTCATAACTTAGGGCCTTTCACATAATAAATTCCTTTCCATGTTTTCCCAACATTTACACAGAGGAAATGCTGGAAGCTCCTTGGGGGAGGATAGAAAAGAACCACTGCTGGCCATAGGTGGGTTCACTTTCAATTGAAACAGTTTATGCATCACACTTACTACTCTCCCTGGAGAAAATTCTGCAAACTACAAATTTCTACATCTTGTGATTTTTTAAATGCATTTATCCTCCCCATTGACAATGCCCAGAGAACTGCCTGGTAGCTCTATACCTTATCCAGCTCTAAACAAAACCACACTTTCCCCCATATAACCTCTGCTACTTACATACTTAAAACTCTTCTAATAAAATAGAAGCCTGATGTCCTAAGGTTTTTAAACATTTTATAGATTGCATTTTTTACTTTATCTTATATTGTGACTACCACATGGCAATATCAGATATATTTTAAAGGAATAACATATACTAACTCCTTTTGATGAATTTCCATCCAATGACTCTGTTTCTGAAACTTGATGAATTGATTCACGGGTAAAACTGATAGACTTGGATAATTTTTCATCTCTTTCCCCAGAATCATCCACACCACTTCTTCTGGGACTGCTGTTAAGAAACACATCATTATAAAAATATAGTCACCTCCACACAAATAAGTTATTTAGACTCCTGGAATCTTTTTATTATAAACCATTTTGATGGCAAATGGACTATTGTACTGGAGCAAATAGGCCTCTACTTATACCAAAGCTATCTTTTTAAATCACAAGCAAATTGACTTTATTCCTAAAAACAAATCATAGGTAATATAAAGTTTTATAAATTTCAGAAATCATTAAAAAAATTAACAAAGTACAAGCAGCCAACAACAGCAGATCAAACGAGTTGGGGACAACCATGAAAATGTGAAATGTTCAGGGAGGATGTGTGAATTGGACATCAATCAGCATAGAAGACAGTTTTTACATCTCCTTCATTCTGACTCAGACCCAGCTAAAATGGCCAATCCCTCTCAGAAATGGAAGCTCCTGCTATCTGAGTCCATCAATGAATCTTGCCCTCTCATGATTCTTCTCAATACTAAGAACAAGGGGTAAGAAATAGCTTTCAAATGATCACAGGGCCAAAACTACCAGGAATGTCTTAGTATCTGCTTTTCCCATCTCAGGAAGCATAAAGAAAGGAAAGAGATTAAATACAAAAGGAGCATAACTGATCTAATTTCCAGTGCCCAACCTTATCAGGCAACCACAATTCCCATATAATCATAACTATGTACATTTAAAGCTCTTCTGCTAAAATAAAGTAGCAGCCTGATTCTCACACAATATAATCCTAAGGAAGGAAAAAAAAAAAGCCAAAAGGTATTTCAACCCTGTTTTACTCTGCCCAAATAATACTTAAGGTCTGTTACAAATTATTCTTAGCCAGGCAGAATGGCAGGCCTCTGATGAGCCAAACAAGAAAAATGGGTTGTCAGGACTTGCCTACCAGTTGAGTGTCTACACTTAAGGATTTTAAGGATGGAGATGAGATACGGAGAAATAAGGAGAGACTGAGAATGAAGAGAGAATATGGAAGCCCTGAGGAAATAAAGGTTTGAAACAGACAATGCTTCTTTCAGAGACTAGAAGAATGGGAAAAGGAATGAACAGGAAATCAGAGTCCTGTCACATATTTTATTAGGAAAAAAGTTACTAGATGAAAGTAGCAGTGCATACATTTGGCAAGAGATCTACAACACAAAACCAGGACTGGTCACATTGAAGAGCTGATCCTAAAAGTCTGAAGCCCCCTGCTTTTGCAAAGACTAGAAACTTTTCAAGATGGCAGGGATTTTGAAGGCCATCTAGTTTAGTGGCCTCGTTTCATAGATGAGTAAACTGAGGATCAGAAAGGTTAAAAGATTTGCATGAGGTTGCTCAGCTACTTGATGGCCCAGATTAGAATCCAGATCGTGTTTACCACAGTCTGAGTCTCTTTGCATTAAATCAGTTGCTTTTCTACCCAGCTTCAGTACCTGAGAGAAACTTGTAAACTTTACAAGGAAAGTAGTATAATGGAAATTTTTAACTTTACAGAAAACTAATAAAATATGCATGTTCTACCTGGTAAAAAAGACTATAAAATATTGATGCTAAACTGAAGCAATATAAATAGGATCAGCATCACTAGAAGACTAGCAAGATGACTAAAAATTTTATACACAATTTAAAATCTTCAAAATATTTCCATTTTAAGATAAGCTATAACATATTATAACATATAATTCATACAACAAAAAATTATCCTTCATTTAAAGAGTAAAATTCAGTTGTTTATAGAGTTGTACAAACATCACCACTACCTAATTTTAGAACATTTTAATCACCCCAAAAAGAAAACCTGTACCCATAAGCTGTCATTCCCATTCTTTCTTCCTCTTAGATCTAGCAACTACAAACATACATTTTCTAGGTATTAATGAATTCTGAACTCCATTTCATATACATGGTATTATACAATATATGGTCTTTTGTTACTGGCTTCTCCAAGTTAACATAATGTTTGCTATAGAATTTTAAAGTATTACCCTGTTTGTTTTTATTGCTATGGCCCAATCTTGCCATTAGATGAAATGCACTTTTACTCGAATGGTTAATAAAAAATGTCCACTCATTGCCAGGCATGGTGGTGCACATCTACAATCCCAGCTCCTCTGGAGGCTAAGGTAGGAGGATCACAAGTTTAAAGGCTAATCTGGGGAAGTTGGTAAGACCCTGTCTCAAAATGTAGCTCAGTGCCTCTAGGTTTAATCCCCAGTACTGCAAAAGACAAAACACAATAACAACAAAAATGTTCACTCTTCTAAATGAATCCGAATCTGTTAAAAATATATTTCTCTACTCATAATTTCTTTATCACATTATTTATTCCTCCTTCATGGCTCTTATCTTGTCATTATTTGCATCCCCATAGTATTATAAACTTCTTTTATTAATGTACTCAATATTTACGGAGTGCCAGCCACATGCCACACACAAATGCTAGGATATCCTTGAGTAAGTCATAGTATCATTGTATTCCTCAAGACATGTTCCATTTAATTTACTTTATTTTCATCTATAAATTCAGAGATTTCACCAGGTAATTCTCCAGACCCTTAGTAAAAAGATTAATTAAAACTAAGCTGTGAGGGGCTGGTGTTGTAGCTCAGTGGTAGAGCACTTGCCTAGCATGTGTGAGGCGCTGGGTTCATTTCTCAGCACCACATAAAAATAAATAAATAAAACAAAGGTACTAAATTGTCCATCTACAACTAATATATAGATAGATATATAGATATATATATATATACAGATAGATATATAGATATGTATATGTGTGTGTGTGTGTGTGTGTGTATAAAATGAGAATTTCATATTTTTTAAAAAATAAGCTATAAAAACGGGAAAGGGGGATCATAAACTGAAATCAATTTCTATGCATATATGTTTGTAGGAATGAACCCAACTACTATGTATAGCTATAAAGCTCCAATAATAAAAATTAACCAAGCTTTAAGCAAATTCTAGGTGACAGTTTATAGTTTACATTTCTTCATATGTCTCGAATTTGGCAAACTATTCTCCATGCCTATCTTTTACCCCATTCTACCTCAAAGAACAAGGCAAACTGTACCCAAGGGTGAATTAATAGAGATTCAGAATTAGTAGAATCTAAAATAAGTCCACCTTAAAGGCTAATAAACCTTGACATTTCAAAACATTTTGCTGTACCTTGGCTGCACATTATCTTCAATCGACAGTGACAAGTTTTCCATCTCTTCAGCATTTAAACCTAGCTCAGTGCCATAGTTCTGCTGGAGAAGTTGCCAGAATTCTTGTCGGGTCAGACTCTAAAATGACAGAAACATAATGAGTTTTAGATAATATAAAAGATAATATAACACAGTGATTTAAAACATGAATATTAAAGTTAAAATGACCTGTGGAACAGCTACCAAAAGTGTGGCCTTGGTAGCTTTCTGATTTTTATAAACCTTCATTTTCTCTATAAAAATGACTTAAAGCCCATCTGACAGAGTTGATATGAGATTTGTACAAAATTGTGATTTTATATTTTGTTTTTATTTTTCAAGACAGAGTCTCACTACATTGTCTAGGCTGATCTCAAACTCTTGGGTTCAAGTGATTCTCCTGTTTCAACCCCCCAAAAAGCTGGTACTATAAGCACACATCATCACACCTGGAAAATGATGATTCTTTAAGTATGTAACAAAATAACTACTATAGGTGGGAAGAAAAAAAGTTTAAAATTTTGTCTTTATAAAATAATTTGTAGTTTCTGGATCTGAAATCCAACAGCCTACCACAACCACTGTTATCACCATTCAGCATCCTAAATGCCAACTTGGAATACATCCTTTTAATCCATAATGTATCTGAATATTTTAGCTGCATTTAGAACCTGATATACCAATACACTTTAAATTATATTTTCCTAAAATTCAAAATGCAAGAGGCTGGACTTCAGAATTTCCTTTACTTTTAATAAAGTCTAGTTTGTTCTCTGTCTTTTACCAGTGCTAAAAATCATCAAATACTCCAGGCACAGTGGAGCACACCTGTAATCCTAGCAGCTCAGAAGGATAAGGCAGGAGGATTTCTAGTTCAAAGCTAGCCTCAGCAAAAAGCAAGGCACTAAGCAACTCAGTGAGACCCTGTCTCTAAATATAATATAAAATAGGGCTGGGATGTGGCTCAGTAGCTAAGTGCCCCTAATTTCAATCCCTGGTACCCCCCAAAAAAACCCAAAACCACCAAATACAGCACATTTATGCAAAAGAATGATATTATGATAAAACAGGAAGCATTATAGTTAATTACATGATTAAGCAAGGTAGAGGGAGGCAGCTTAACACTTGAAGATATTGTCAATAAGATTCTTCATCTCTTTCAGTCATTCAACAGGTATTTATTGAGTACCCTCCAAATGTATACCACTCTACTAGATGCTAAGGGGTATAAAAATGATGTAGAAGTTAAGTTCTTGACCCTCAAATAATTTCTATTATAACTGAAGAGCCATGGGACACTTTAAGTTAAATATGACAATATATGATTATGTACTAAAGTGCTGGTAGAATCAAGATGACATAAAAGTCTAAAAGAAAAATTACTACTATGGATTAGGGAGATCTGCTATGTTTTCACACTGGTTTTCAGCTGAACTGAAAAAAAAACATGAATGAGAGCAGGGGAGAAATGAGAAAAGTAGAGGAGAGAGAAACCAACATAAAAGTACAGACTAAATGCATGAACATAAGTAATATTTGTTTCACGGTCAGTAATAGTTTGTCAGCCCGATTGGAGTAAAAATTTAAAGTTGGGTAACAGTAAAGATAAATATAGATTTAACAGGGCTAAAATGTATATAGATGCCTGGAATTCTTCTGCAATATTTCCTATAACAAATATATTTCCTATTTTTCTCTTTTTTTTCTTTTCTCTCTCTAGTAGCTGTGGTATCTTTGTTTGATATTTATACTAGATGACCTTCATTACATTTTGTAGAACCTCAAAGAGATTAAGAACAAAATTTCTGCACTTTTTTCCCCAAATTTTTATAATTGGTGTATTATAGTTGTACATACGGGATTTGCTGTTACATATTCATACATGCACACAATACACAATATAACAATATAATTTGCCTAATATTACTCAGATTTCTGCACCCTTGACTGCTAATTCCCTGTCTGCCATGTCAGATCACTAGGATACCACAAGAATACTTGATTAAAATTCAGGTGTTATTATCAGTACTTCAACATGTTGAAAATATCCGAGTATTTACCTATAATAAAGCTACTCAAGCTAAGTAAATGGGCAACACTCTTTGCTTTGAGCTATTGTGTTAACCTAGAGTGGATATCTCATTGGAAATAATGTATGTCTAACAAATAACAATCTTCTAATATTTACTATTCAATATAACCACTTTTTGGTGGACAGAGTCTTTTAAGACATAGGATCCAGAGAAGAAAAATTAACAAAATAAAATAAAAAGGATCACTGGTGGTAGAGAAAGATGATGAACAACTGTCTTTGATCCTAAAAAAACCCAGCATACATTTCCTACTTCCACTCCCAAAGAGTCATTTGCTTTTCATAATGACAACTTTACCACTAATTAACTCATTCTTTCAAAGACTATCTTCAAAATATTTTAGTGTCATGTAAGGATAGTTAGCTTTATAAAGAGAAGCAAACAATATTTCAATATACTTGTGTAAGATTAACCTCTCAAACTTTTCAAAAACAAATAGATATTTCCAAAGAAAGACTAAAATAAACAAATCAACAAATACTCAAGACAGCTTCCTAACAGTGAAAGAAATGAAACTTATAAGTAAAATACTAATAACAAAAATGTAATTTTATTTGACTACAGAAATACATGTTTTAAAATTTTTAACAAATAATACTAGGAAGTTAATCACAGGATAATTTCAATATGCTTTTTGACCTATTAATTGAACACACGCATGTGCGCACGCATATATATATATATATATATATATATATATATATATATAT